TTCTTAAGCAAATGTCTTTAACTTCAAAAAATTCATACTGAATGAAAATCATCTAATATCTTTCTAATTCTTAAGAATAGATGAAGAATTGAATGTGCGTTCAATGTTTGAGGCACTTAGTTTTTAAATAATATTATTTAGAGTAGGTAAATTAAAAGAGATTGGATTGGTAAAAGTAACATTATTGGTGTTTTTTGCTAGAGATAGCATTTTTTTGAATTGAATAGAGAATAATCAAGATAGTTTAGTTTGTATATTTTTGTGAATTGGGGTTATTTGTAGTAATATTTAAGTGAAGGTTGTAAAATTAGGTTAAATAGTGCTGATATTTGAGAGTGTTACTTTTTTGTATTTTATCCCTTAAACCGTAACTTTTAGAAGGCAAATTTGCCCGCTAAAAATAGTCAAAAAAAGCTAAACATAGTAAAAAAAATTTTTTTATGGAAATTATTATGCAAATCGATTAGAGTGACTTCCAAGATGTCAGAATATGTGTTGCAGATAATAGTTTTATTGTACTACATTGTCATATAATTTAAGCAAAAGGCACAAGTCTGCATTACATAAAAGAGGCTGCTCCAAAATGATAAAATTGTGTCTTGTAACCCAAATTATGGGCTGTCAAGACGAACTAGACCCTAACATGCTTAATCGAAGTAAAATTAATAGACACAATCTACATATTCAGTAACTAAAATAAAGTTAATTTATTGAATATTTGAGAGGTTAATTAGAAGCTAACTTTGGGCATTATCAAGTGCTTCGATTTGGTAAAATTTTGTTTTGAGAAAAAAAATATTTTTTTTCATTAAATAAACTACAAATTAATTATATATCAGGTATTTAGTAACTAAATAAAGTTAAATTTATTGGATATTTATGAAGTCAATTAGCTACTTTAAACGTTCTCAAGTGCTTTAATCCAGTAAATTTTTAAGAAAAAAAAATCATTAAATAGACTCAAATAATTACGTACTGTATTAAGAAAAAAAAATTTAAAGGTTCTTTTATTTCTCAGTATGGAATCTAATAAAACAATTTCAATATTTATTGCAGCAGAGGGGCACATTGCAAAGTGTACACCAGATTTAACTTTGGTGTAGCATTTTACAGTCCATATTCAGTTTTTTTCTGCTTGCCAGCCAAGCACACCACAAGCACGCTTCATGATTTTTTTTCCATTCTGTCAAGTGGTGCCCGAGCACCAGCCGTTGATCTGAAAGTTCAAATTTTTTTGTAACTTTTGGCCGCTTTATACTTAAACTTTTTTTTTCTTTCTTCGTTCTTTACTGAACCTCGTTATTACTTGCAAACTCAATAAGGTCCCAAACTAGCTCATTTCGGAATTCCTTATGCCCCTGTTTAGATCCCAAGGTTTGAGCAATCAAATATGCATTGACAATTGCTGTATCCAGCAATCAAAAAAAAAGTGGCATCCAGTTTCGCCGTGTTGTTTGTTGCATATTGTAATAGAATCGCAGTTGATTAGTGATGTCCATGCCATTCATATTATTATTGTAATCATCAATTATTTTTGGGATTTTTACCTTTTTTTTTACATCTGAACCAAATACTGTATATACCTTTGTTGCATTCATACTTGTTTCCCTTGGTCGCTGTCTTACTCGTTCTACTTTCACTCATCACTAACAAAACCATAGATTGATGATAACATTGTAACCGGCCCATTGTCCTGCCAGAAAACAGCCAACATACCATTTACTACAACATGATCGGATATCCCAATCGAATTTAACATTCTTATCCACTTTCAGTACTTTGGGAAACCCGAGGCTGTTTTTCAAACTGTTCCACAAGCCCCAATACCAATCTGATGGAGATGCTGAAAAGAGGTACACTGGTAATTAAACACCCGGTTTGGCCAAGACCACTTACTTTTACTATGTTACTTGGTGAAATATGTGATATCAGCAAGAAAGTATAAGTGTACCCAGATTCGCATAACGAAAAAACTTTAAACCCCTCTGGAGTAAGTTTGTTCTTAATTTAGACTGTATGAATGCTTCTTCTGGAAAACTGAACCATTATTTCATCTACTGAAACATTCGAACCTGATACATAATATCGCTTCGAAGCATCCCAGATGTGTGAAAGCAATGGTTCCACTTTATCAAAATAATTTTCAATTATTTGTTCAGGAAGGGAAATGTGCAGGAACCTTTTTATTTGTTCAAAGCATGTTAGTGACATTTGCTTTGAAATATGGTGAATAGGGAATTTTAGGCTCTCATTCCAGTATTGGTTAAGAGAAGGTACTTTAAAAAGTCCTTGTTAGATAGCTAAAGCTATCTAAATAACAAGCTCTTTAAGCTTACATTATGCTAATTTCTACCACTAACACTGGCATCTTTTGATGATGCATACAAATTAGTATTGACAACCAAAGTGTTTAACATAATGTTTATAAAAAAAAGAAAAAAAAATCAATCAGCTTGGAGACACCGACATCAAAATGCGGCGGCAACCTAACATTTGCCTTACACAGTAGACTTGAATGAACAAGTGGCTCAAAATTAGATGGTTGTGCCAGAAGTTGTATGGGTTCTGTTGTTTTACGTTTTCTTTTGCGAGTACTTCCCGTGTCTATTTCTGCTTCATATTCATTATCAGACTCCGGGTCTTTCAAAGCATGTTGACGGAACGTCAAAATCAGTAAGTATTCATTATCATCTGTATCTGCACTTTCAGAAGGAGACAAAAATGACGAACTCAAAGATGATGAGCCCAAAGTTAACAAACTCAAAGATGATGAGCCCAAAGTTGACGAACTCAAAGATGATGAGCCCGAAGTCAACAAACTTAAAGACAGCGAATATAAAGACAATGTATTTTTCTTTTTTGACTTGGGTGGCATTAATGGAGCGTGAGAGATTTTTTTTTTGTGCTTGGCATTGATTACGTATTTGTTATCAAATTACTTATGCATATTCATTATCTTTAGATCAGCATTGCATCATATATATGGAAGGTATTGTAAAACGAAAATTATGATCAATCGATCATGTGTTAGGCTTTCATTTGAGCTTAGTAAAAGGGGTGAAGCTTAGAAAAATTAGAAGCAATCATATGAAAACGATTTAAAAAAATTTTTAGCAAGCAAATTTGCCCGCATTACGGTTTAAGGAATATGATTGAGAAAATTTTCTAGTTTGTTAAAGATTGTATCAAGTATAGGTTTGGATGAGCCATTATCATCATAAAAAACTTCAAGATATTATATAACATTATGAGGTTTTCTGGGAGTAGTAGCTTGGTTATTTGCATAGAGAATAGATTGTAAAGGTGAAGATTTAAATTTAATGTAAAGTAAGTCTGATTTAGCAGTATTAATTTCAATATTATTAAGTTTATAAAGGATAGATGTATCATTTAAAATATTTTGCATTATAGCTAGATCTTTACAGTGTTACATTGTGTCATCTATATAAGCCAGTGGAGAAATAGTGATTGATGAGAGAGTTTTGTTTGTAATATTTTCGAGATGAGATTGTGAAGAGATTTTGAGAAGATGGTTTTGGTATTTTTGGTTTATAAAAGATAGAATAGAATTGTAGTAGATTTTCCAAAGTAGAGGTGAGTAAGTTTCACCTTGTTCAATATCAGAATTGAGTTGGATAGGTAAAGTAAGCCATGACTAGTAATAACTCTGGCAAGGTGAGAAGTGTGGAGTTCTGTAATAAAGCTAGTGCTTGTAGTTGGAATGCCTATTCTTTTGCAAGTATTTGAAGTCTTGAGATATTAATTTTGTCAAAGGCTTTAGACATATCTTGGAAAAAAATCCAAGCTTCTTTGTTACAGAAATTATAGTGTTCAATAGTATTATTGAGAATTTGAATGGGAATATATATAGAGGAATTTTTTGTAGCTGCAAAGTTTAAATTAGAGAGAAGATTGTTTGAAGTAATAATATTATCTAGTCATTTAGTAAAGATTTTTGTAAGTGTTTTTTTGAAGGGTTCGATTATA